GGGGGGGGGGGAGGGCCGATCTTTCTTTTCCTTTTTTTTTTCTTTTTCCCTTGTTCAAAATTTACTTAACGTGTCTGCCTCCCTGCCCCTATCGTAGATCTTTCGCTGTAATGTACGAACAACGATCGCTGCTGCCTGGACAGCTTCAGCACCTTCTTCTCTTTTTTTCCCGCGTTATTCATATCCATAGCGTTGGCATCTTGCTGCAGTGGAAAGGAACGAGAAAAAGAAAGGGGGAAAAAAAACAAGCTCTCGCTGCACTGGGGTGCCCAAATGAACATGTGACAGGCGGCTGCGGCCGCGGGTTGACAATCAGCGACGGGATAGGGATCGAGCTGGGCCTTGGGGCTGGGGATGGAGCTCTGCTTCTCTCGCCGCAGCTCGATCCCCAGCTCGGTCCCCAACCCAATCCTCGGCTTGCTCCCCTGGTCGATCCCCAGGTCGTTTTCCACCTCGGTGCCCAGCGCAATCCCCAGCTCGATCCCGACTCTAATCCCCAGCTCGATCCCGATCCCAAACCCCAGCTCGATCCCGATCCCAATCCCCACTCGATCCCGAGCGTGATCTCCAGCTCGATGCCTAGCCCAATCCCTAGGTCGAGGGAGGCAGCTCGATCCCCGGCCCAATCGAGCTGGGGATTGGGCTCGGTATCAAGCTGGGAATCGGGGTCGGGATCGAGAACTGACCGCAGGCATCTGCTTGCCGCACCTTGTCGGTGGTGGTGTGGGACGCGACCGTCTGTGCGGCGATGTTGGAGGCCATGCCGATCGGGAATGTGACGGGATCGGGGCTATATCGTCACACACCGTGTATCGGAGCGCAAAGGCGAGAAAAGACAAAACAAAAAGGCAAGAAGTAAGGAAGGAAAGCTCCCCGCCTGTTCATCACCTCTTACGTACTACAAGGCCGGCCACTGGATGATGGTTGTAAGTAAGAAGATAAAAAATGAATTGATATTTATTTATTTATTTTTCTTCGTTTTTGCGCTCTGACATCTTTGTGACAATATATCGTCACATGAATATCAGAGCGCGAGAGCGGAAAATACAAAAGGAAACTAAAAAGATGTCAATTCATTTTTTATCTTTGTGACAATATATAGATATATAGCGGAAAGAGAACTCCCCGGTTAACCGTAGGGGCTGTGACAATCTGTTTCGTTGGAGTGTCACCGACTCATACACTACTATGTATACGTATATAAGGGCATACTCATTTATGCTTGAGCTTTTCGGGCGTCGCCACACCACTCTGGAAAAGTGCGAAATGAGAGTGAACTTCCCGGTAGAACACGGCCAGATGCGCCCGCCACATTGTTGTCTTTTTCACATTTCGAGAGTGGTGTGGCGCGGCCCTTCGTGTATAGTGCAACGAGGAGATTATGTATAGTGCGAGTCCGGTGTAAGTAACTACAACGAAACACTATACATGATCTCCTCGTTGGAGATCATGTATGTATAGTGTTTCGTTGGAGATGACATGATTCTTTGTGAGAGGGCTTTCATGATCTGCTCGGTACCTGGACGTCCTCAAGCTGCTACAGACAGGCAGACATGTACCTGATCGCTCGTTTTACGGCCTTGTCTCTCTCATCGTTTACTCCCTTTCACGGGGAAATCTTGACATTGCTGCTGCTAACGGTAGGCAATCTCTCTCTTTCGTCCTCCTCTCAGTTTCTTTTTCCCTTTCTCGGGGCAATCATGAAAATCTCGCTGCTGCCAGTAGGCACTCTCTCTCTCTCTCTCTCTCTCTCTCTCTCTCTCTCTCTCTCTCTCTCTCTCTCTCTCTCTC